GTGGCTCACGCCTGTAATCCCAGCACTTTGGGAGGCCAAGGTGGGTGGATCACCTGAGGTCAGGAGTTCAAGACCAGCCTGACCAACATGGTGAAACCCCGTCTCTATAAAAATAAATAAATAAATAAAATTAGTTAGGCACGGTGGCAAGCACCTCTGTAATTTCAGCTACTTGGGAGGCTGAAGCAGGAGAACCACTTGAACCTGGGAGGTGGAGGTTGCAATGAGCCAAGATTGTGACCCTGCACTCCAGCCTGGGTGATAGAGTGAGACTCAGTCTCAAAAAAATTTAAAAAATAAAATAAGATGTGTACATGTTTTAGACATGATGCTATTTCACACACAATAGACTACAGTAGTGTAAACATAACTTTTATATGCACTGGAAAACCAAAAACTTCATGTGACTTGCTTTGTGGCAGTATTTGCTTTAGTGCAGCGGTCTGTAACCAAACCCACAATATCTCAAGGCATGCTTGTATATACATTTTTATAATCTCTTATACACAATAGAGAAGGACAAGAAATTGAGGCACAAGCAGGTTAAATATCTGTCTTAAAGTTGGGCAACTGGTAAATGACAGAGGCAGTATTTAATCTAGGCCGTTATTCATTCATTTATTCACCCCTTCATGTATTCATTAAACAAATAGTTATGCAATGTCCATGAGGCATTACTCCCAGACTTCAGCGCTTTGTGGTATCATTCATTTGGCAAACCTGAACAGTTCTGTTGCTTAGACAAAGTGAAGGCAGACAAAGGAGAATAACCAGGGAGGATTACAGATTCTGAATCAAAGAAGGCAGAAAAAGGGAAGAGTGAGAGACAAGTTTCAGTTTCAGGTGAGATATCTGAAAAGGGAAAAGTTCCTAGGGAGTAGCTTCCCTCCTCCAGGGCTCCAGGTTGAATGAATTCCCTGACCTCAGGAACGAGTGTCAAGACTTGTTTTATTGGTATTTACAAAAGTAGGTTTTAAAGGATCAGTGATTTGCAGATTCCAGGTGGATGTGT